CTATGCTAGCACTCACACTTTCTACAACAAAATCAAACATAAAATAATTGGCCAACGCACGGGCTGCCCGTGCGAAGATGCGTTTTTTGCATAGTTTTTCCACAGTTTTTATCGCTACCAGCATCGGTTTTTTCGGCGAATGCTTCTAGCTGAACAAATTAAGACTGGCTGCGGGAATTGGCAGGAAAAACGCCCATAAAATTTCAGTTTTCTAGCTTTCCTGGCTGCTAAGTTATCACCTACTTGAACGGGGAGCATCCCTCTAAGATTTCAGCGTTCTAGCTTCTCAGATCCCCGAGTTATGAACTTATCCTCAAAAAATTTTGGCGGGCCCGTGTGTGGGTACCACGCTTGCCCAGGGGATGGGTTTCAGTGCATTAACAGCTACTTGGACGGGGAAAGTCCCCCTAAGATTTCAGCGTTCTAGCTTTTCAGATCCCCGAATTATGAACTTACCCCAAAAAAATTTTGGGAGGCCCATGCGCGGGTACAACGCGGGTGATGGCGCCAATTTTGGGGATTGGGGCCGACACGTATATGTAGATTAAGCTCCTCAAATTTCAGCCCTGCAGCTTTTATAGGTCTTGAGATGGAATTGCGTGACAGACGCACACACAGACACACGGACACACAGATAGCCTCTCGTCAATATGCGTTTTTGCATTGCATAGCTGCAAAAAACGCATAATAAGAAATATAGGATAATGCAAACGGCAGCACAAGTCCTGGGCGCGTCCATGGCAGAAGGAAGGATTGGTGGACTGAATGGCTGTTACCTAAGCTGTCAAATTGATTTATTTCCATCCTGTTATAGCTTATTTCCGCGTCATTGATGCGGTTGAAAAACTTGCCTGAATTTTTGTAATCATAACTGTTTCACCCCAGTGCTTAGCCTACTGTTTATCCTGGCATTCGTTCCTGCATTATATTCAAGTAATGGCACTACTTATGAAATTAATGACTGTAGATTTTCAAAATTAATTTAATGGGTCCGATTACACTAGTTTTTAAACAATCCATCTGCGATTCGTTCATTCTTTTGAATAGTAGATTAGTACTAGCTTTATGTATCTTTTAACCGGCTTTTTAATCGAGGTCGAAACTGCTGCTGGCTTGCGTCTTTTAACGGGTCTTCGAAAAAACTTGTGAGAATCACCGTAGTTGGTATTTCATATCATTCGGGCTGCCTTCAAATATTCTTGCTGGAAGTGAATTACGACAAGAGTTAAAACTCTGATTGTGAGGGTCGCCGTACACAGTAATTCAGTTTCATTGTAAAATAATACCGGAGGAAGGACTCTAAGAAATTTTTTCAGGTAATAAATGCTAGATAAATGAAAGCAAAAAGTCTGATTACAATGCGGTTGATCATTTCATTCGGCGTTTCAGCAATTTTTTGGTTCATTTGCACGTAAATTAATAAGTGTTTTTTGCAGCGATACCACGTTTGGATTATAGTCGAAATGAGCAGCAGCCACACGTTGCAGTTGGGCGTCCGATCACTCTGTGGTGTATGGTGTCGGGTCATCCACAACCGACAATTCGTTGGATGAAAGATGGCCGAGCTGCTGCAGTCACAAAAAAGAGCGGTGTTCGGTTGATCGATGGAGGGCAAGGTGTTTTTGTATCTTTAAATAGTAGTGCTTATGGCTTAGGGAAAAATAAAAAAATAAGATTTTAAAAAATTCAAGCATAGCTAGGAAAGTAATGTCATTTGAAAAATTCAGAGAAGTGGACAAAAAAATGTGTTTTTAAGTAATTTCGAAAAAATAAAGTCAAGCCGTTGACCGAAAGACCTGGCATAGATGCGCCCGGTGTGTGGTAGCGAGTCGGTAACTGACATGGGATACTCATACTTATTGTTCAAAAAGTCTCGGTATTCTTGGTAAGAAACCCAAGCTGAAACGCACCGGGCGGACCCGTGCGATCATGCGTTTTTGCACCGGACTTGAAGAACTCAGGTCATTAACTGCATGAATGGCTGTTGCTTTACACCTACCTGCTGCGGTCACTAGCATAAATCACCATAAATTTTGCAAAG